CTCTGACATTATAATTTATCCTCCAGAGAAAGGGAAATCTTGTCTCTTCTTTTAGGACCTCACAGAGGAAGCCCAGACATTGTTAGACCTACACCCAGATCTTGCCTTGTATTCAGAGGCCTCCCAACTGGACCCAGACTCTACTACATCCAAATGGCTTGGGATACATCTATCACCTTAGATTACCCCAAACACAAATGGAACTCAACACTGGATGGTCTTGTGCCAGTTACTTAGCTTTTCTGAACTTCACAGTGCTTGGCACTTGGCATAGATTACCTGTTGAGGGGATGGTTGATGGAGGGAGGGAGATAAGACGAATAGGCCACAAACTATAACACCTGATCCAGTGAAACATGAGGCCTGCCCATTTTTTCTGCTATATCCATCATCGTCAACCAGAAGGGTATCGAACCATAGGGGAAAAGAGGCTCCTTTCCTGGGCTACATCTCAGGAAACATGCTCTTACTGCTTATCTGCTAAGATTTCCCTCCTCAGCAGCCCATCTGTCCATATCCCTAGAAGCACAGTGAGATAAGTATTTCTGAACACAGTAAAGAGATCTTTTCAAACCTAAAGGCCTGAGGACTTGGGGGGCACAGCCTGTGTAAAAAGGCCAAATAGACTGAGATATGGCTAGAGATAACCAGCAACTAAATTAGAGATTTCCCAGGCCAGGTCCCTCCCAGGGTCCTGCCCTAGTTTTGGCTTTGTATTACTTTTCTGAAGCTAAAAGAAAAAAATCATGAGGCTGAGAAAACCCTGGGGTTGGCAAGTCCAAACTCAGAAGAATAGCATACGAATTTAGAGTGTTTTTTGTTTTGGTTTTTTTTTTTTTTAATCAGTACTTTAGAACCAAGACTTCATTCACCTAAAGACAAAAAGATATGAACTGCTTGGTCCACAAGTGGGATAAAGCAGGAGTGTTCCGTCAATGACTTGGTGTTTGGACAACTGTTGTAGCATCACCTTGATTCCTTTTTTTTGAGACAGGGACTCCCTCTGTTACCCAGGCTGGAATACAGTAGTGTGATCCTGGCTCACTGCAGCCCCAAACTCCCACAGGTGTGTGCCACCACACCAGGCTAATTTTTTGTAGAGACAAGGTCTCTCTATGTTATTCAGGCTGGTCTTGTACCCCCAGGCTCAAGCAATTCTCCCACCTCAGCCTCCCAAAATGCTCAGATTACAGGTGTGAGCCACTGTGCTTAGCCCTGTCACCTTGTTATGATTCTGTGAGGACGTAAAGCCGAAGGATTAGTAGGCCAATAGGCTGTTAATTTCTGTCACATCCAGGATCTCTTGCCAGCCAGCAAACCAACTTCCTGGAGATATCAAGAGTGGCCTGTATATAACTTCTGAACTATGCCTCCTACCAAAGAACCAGAAAAAGGATTTGGCCTTGCAGAGCTCAGCCACCAGCCGAGGAGCCAGGAAAAATCAGTCTTTCATTCTTTTTTCTTTTTTTTTTTTTTTAAATAAAAGAACTCTGTTGATGGGAAGCAAAAAGAACAACACTACTATGCAAAGATTTATAATGAAAAAGTTCCATCTATAAAAGACAATAGACTTCAAAGAGTATATACTACATGATTTCATTTACAGAAGTTCAAAATCAAACATCTCCCATGGTGTTGAGAATCAAGAGGTGCTTACCTCTCTATGTAGGAAGAAGGCACTAATAATCGGAAGAGACATGAAGGGGGCATTGAAGATGCCTGATAGTATTTTGTTCTGATCTGTGTGCTGGGTATAAGACTGTTTACATTTTGTGATCATTCATCACATTACCACTTAATGATGCGTGTGATCATCTATATGTATTCCACATATCAACAAACTGATTTTTTGAAAAATTCTATTTATAGACAGAAATTAGCTTATACTTACTGCTGCCTGCTTGCAGAATCTGATGCCCCATATATTGGGCCAGAGACTAAAACCAAACCAAAACAAACCCATAAGCCTGTTTTCTCACCTGAAATGGTTTTTTGCGGTTTTCAAATTCAGTAAGAGATGTCTTCAGGCAGAATTTCATTGAATTTCAGGGCCTAATCAGGCTTTTTTTTTTGGCAGTTGGCCAATCTTTGGATGGGCCAAATTCTGCCTGTGGATCCAGAGAGAAAACAAGTAATCCTCAGGCTTCCCAGGTCTGACACAGAGGAGAGCAGAGACCCAGAGAGCACAGGAAAAGTTAAGGAACTTTCTCCAAATTACACAATGAGTTGCTGGTGGGGGGCCTTGTGATTCTCATTCCAAGGACTATCACTTTTCTACTACATCTCTTCCACAGGGACCAATTAATAAAACTTCTCCTCTAGGGAACTGAAAAAAGGAGCCCAGTAAACTTCACTGGTCATTCTTTGCATACAAAGTATACAAAGGAGTTTACCAAGTTCCTCTCCAACAGGAAATCATTTGTCTCTAAGAGCCAGGAAGAGGAGGAGGGAAGTGCTGAGTTTGCAACAGGGCATTGCAACACAGCCCAGTGTTTTTGTGGAAACGATGTTCCCCTAATCAAAACACGGCTGCATAAATGGACTCACTCCACTTAGTGGGGAAAAAAAGTTGTTTAAAGCCTATAAATGGGGACCACACAACCCTGATTAATTTTTAAAGTTCTTTCTCCACTTTCTTTTTTAGAAAGTAGCTAAAAATAAAGACTTGAAACTTGAAATAATGTAAGCAAGTAAACACACACACACACACACACACACACACACACACGCACAGCTTTTCCCATATATGGCTGCGTTATTCTTCGATCTTTGAAAAGGCCAAATGAAGAGATGGCCAACAACCAAAATAATCCTTCAGACATTTGAAAACGAGGAGAAAGAACTAGAAGAGCCGGTGAATGACAAACAATTGTGAGGCTCAATGCGGATAAATAACACCGAGAGGGATTAGTTGCCATAGTACTTTAAAAACATGGGCACATGCATTTTGACACTGGGCCCCTTCTATAAAGAGACTGTTTTGCCCTCTGGCCTCAGCATTGAGAAAACTACAACTGCAGTAATTTAACATAAAGGATTTAAAGAAGGAAACCAGTGCAGGGACATGACTGAAAATTTAATTAAGGCCCTTCTCAGTATAAAGTCTGTAAAGGAGATGACGGCACATCTCAAGGTCAGAAGAAGCAGGGAGACTCAGAAAAGATTCAAATGAGATACAAGAGCATAAATAGCAGAGGTCGGCTCTGGAGGTCAGCTTCTTTATGATAGATGGTTATTACCGTGTCTTTTGGGTCCTACGTGAAATGTCTCTGTCGAGAAGATTAACACATGCATGTCAAAAAAAAAAAATGCCACCTTGTATGTATGTGTCGGGAGGTCACATTTTCAGTGTTTTATGGTTTTCAAGGCCATGTCAGATGTAATCCTCGACATAAAGTAAAGCACCTGCCTTTCCTGATATGGAAACTGAGGCTCAGGGAAGCTAAATGAACTCTACAAGTTCTATTGTGGGTAGCTTTGTGCAAGGGGGCTGGGGTATCAACAGAAAGCAAAATCTCCCAACATGCAGGCCACAGATCTTTCGACTCAAAACCTTTGAAAGAACACTGGCCAGACTGCCAAGTTTAGGTACGGATTGTAGCTCATCCACTAAGTCTCTGTGACTATGAAGCAGTCATTTCCCCTCTTCTGATTCTCATCCTGAACTGAGTATGAACAGTGCCATCCTAGCTGGCAGAAGGTGGGTGGCAAGGAGGAAGAGAGAGACAAGTGTGAGCTGAGTCACTCTGCTCCCTACACTCATCTGTGAGTCTGTCCTTGCAAATCTCCAGATAGGATTGGCTGGCACCATCACCATTTCACTGATGGGGACAGCCGTCACATTACAGGGCAGAATACAACATGGAATCTAAAACAATGATTTCCAAAAGGTAAGACTGAAAAACCTCTTCAATCTCCCAAAAATATTGTAATGAAAATGACTGAAGAGACAACATCAATT